GTAGTAGTAGTAGTAGTAGCAGTAGTAGTAGTAGTAGTAGTAGTAGTCGTAGTAATAGAGGGGGAGGAGGTGTTTGGTTTTGTTAGTGCTTTGGTGTTGGGTGTATGGTGTTGGTGCGTGGTGTTTGGGGGTTGATGTTTTGGGGTTGGTGTTTGGCGTTTGGTTTGCGGTGTGTGGGGAAGGCGGGAAAACCCATAAGGGTCCCACCCAGAGAACCAACCGACCCGGCATTTGCCTCATTGCACCCGGAGAACGAAATCTTTTCCTGGAGATCGAACCTTTTTCCCGGAGAAGAACTTTTTCCCCTCCTCGCGGGGCTGGGGCCGGGGCTAGGGCTGGGGCCGAGGCAAAGGAGAAGGAGGAGGAGGAGGCGGAGAAGGAGGAGGAGGAGGCGAAGGAGAACGAAAACGATGATGCTGATGCTGATGCTGATGCTGATGCTGATGCTCATGATGCTTATGATGCTTATGATGATGATGCTGATGATGATTATGATGGTGGTGGCGATGATGATGATGCTGATGATGATGCTGCTGATGATGATGATGTTGATGATGATGATGATGGTAATGTTGATGATGATGATGATGATGATGATGATGATGATGATACTGATGCTGATGATGATGATGCTGATGATGATGATGATGATGATGATGATGATGATGCTGAATGGGGAAGGCAGAAGGCGATATGATGAGGGCGGAGGAGGCAGGCGGAAAGAGGGAGGGGTAGGAGGAGGAGGAGGAGGAGTCATAGGTTGATGAGGATGAGGAGGAGGAGGAAGACGAGGAGGCGGAGGAGGAGAAAGAGGAGGAGAAAGGAGGAGTGAGGAAGCGAGGAGAGGAGTAGATCAGGAGGAGGAGGAGGAAGGGTGGAATGGAGGAGGCGGAGGAGAGAAAGAGGAGGAGAAGAAGGAGAGGAGGAAGACGGATGAGGAGGATGAGGGGAGAGGAGGAAAAGAGGAGGAGGAAGGAGGAGGCGGGATGAGAAACTGATCAATTACTAATCAGAAGGTGTTTGGAGGTTTGAGGAGAAAGGAGGAGCCGGAGAATGAGGAGGAGAAGGATGAGGAGAATAGGAGGATGAAGGCTGAGGAGTAATATTATGTTGTTGGAAAGGGTTGGGGATGAGTATGAGAGTATTAACTATTTTTTGAGTCCGTAGGAGGAGGAAGAGATGGAGAAGGAAGATGTGGAGGAGGAGGAGAAGGAGGAGGAGAACGAGGAGGAGGAGGAGGAGAAAGAGGATAACGAGTTGTTGGAGGCTGCGGAGGAAGAGGAGGCGGAGGAGGTGGAGGAGGAGGAGGAGGAGGAGCAGGAGCAGGAGGAAGAGGAATCAGAGTTATTGTTGTTGGCGGAGGAGAAGGATAATGAGGAGGGGGAGGAGGAGGTAGAGGAGAAAAAGTAGGAGGAGGTGGTAGAGTAGGAGGGAGAGGTGGAGGAGAAGGAGGAGGAGGAGGAGGAGAAGCAGGATGAGGAGGAGGAGGTGAAGGAGGAGGAGAGGGGAGGAGGGAGAAGAGTTGTCGGAGGAAGAGGAGGAGAAGGAGGAGGAGGAGGAGGAGGAGGAGGAGGAGGAGGAGCAGGAAGAGGAGGAGGAGGAGGAGGAGGAGGAGGAGGAGAGCCGTGTGTCTGTCTCCTCGCGGGGACGGACCAGGGCTGGGGCCGGGGCCAGAGGCAGGGCCTGGGCTGGGGCCTGGGCCGGGGCCTGCAGGGCTGGGGCCAAGGCCCAGCCTGAGGACCTGGGCCCGGTCCAGGGCCGGGACCGGTCGAGGCGGGGTGAGGGGTCCGAGGCGGGGGGAGGGGGCCAGAATTGGGTCCGAGGCGGGGGAAGGGGTCCTGGAGTCCTGAGCTCGCCTGCCGACAGGGAGACCCCCCGGTCCGCCTGGGGGGGACCGCTCGAGGTGAGGGTCACGACCTCCGCGGGACCCCCCCCCTGGGATCCCCCTTGGGGGGGCCCTCGGGATTCCCTCCCCGGGGCGCCACCACACCCCGGGTGTCCCCCCCGGAACCGCCCCTTCTCAGGCGGGAAAGGGACAAATGGAAGGGGCTTCCCATCGAAGTAGCTACAAGATTGTTCATCCCCTTGTTCGATCTCCCTGACAATGACGACGATTCGAAGGAAGCTGGCGTACTTCAGTTTCGGTTGGGCTGGCCTCGCGTGGGCCCCTCACACACGCCGACTGGGTCGGCGGAATGTGTATTGATTTTTGACAGATGGTGGGGTGGGGATTGGCATGGGTTCGAGTTGTCTGCCGGTCGTGTGGTGGAGGAGGCGTTTATTGATTTGGAAAATGAGAAGCCCCTTCCCCGAGGGGAAGAAGGGGGTTGAAATAACGAACGATGTAAACAACCTGCGCCCAGAGGGTTGGTGGGACTCCTGCGCATCTCCACCCCCCGCTCCTGCGCATCCTGATCCACTCCCTCTGCTCTCCCACTCCCTCTGTCCACTCCTCTCGCTTCGCGAACTCACCATTTTTATTTCCACTTCCCTCTCCCCCCTTTATACAGGATGCTATGAAGTAGGGCACGAGTATGACTTTCCAGCATTCCCTGTAGTGTGACAGGCTCGCTTGATGCGGTGGTTCTTCGTCTCTGGAGGCCCCAGGGACCCAACAACGGCTCCAAACGACTACAACTTTGCATCCTCGATCCTCGAATCTCGATGGTGTTCTCTCTCTGCTCCTCTGTTTATCCTCCAGCTGCCTCAGGAGGGCGACAAGGTCGCGCTTAGCCGCAGAATCGACAAGCACTGGAGACTGATTGGATGGGGCTCCATCGTGAAAGGTAAGACGATCAAGCCTCTCACAAGGGAGGTTCCCGCATGAGCCGCGAAGGTGTGAGGCCCCGCCGACACACCCGCCAGCAGGACGGGCCAGATTTTGTACTCGTCAGTTTCCCCCTCCCCACCTGCAGGCCGCCCGAATGGGGCTAGAGTAATCGGCGGCGAGCGAGGGGGGGAAGTGAGAAGGAGAAGGCCTTCTCGGAAAGCGGCGGGACTTCTCAGAAGCCCTCGCGCCTTCTGAGAAGTTGTTTGTGTCTTCGGGGAGGCTTTGACATTTTCTCAGACGGCCCGGGGACTTCCGAGTCGTCTGAGAAGGCCCGCTCCTTCTCATTTCCCCCCTTCGCTCGCCGCCGAAGTAAGATCAAGGATCGACTGCATCTTCTCGGGCCTCAGGGGCATCCAGAGGTCTCCAGAGACCACCTCCAGGGACTTGCGTGGACCTCTGGGGTCCTCTGGCGATGGGGTCGGAGGATCGCGCCGCATCGCCGATGTATCAACGATGCGTCGCGATCCAGGGCTGATGTTTCCTCAACATGGCGTCGCCGAACGCGTCGCCGGTTTGTCGGCGACGCGGTGCCATCTTCCAGCCCCATCTGTTCTGGCTCTGTTTGGGAGGCCTCTTCCTCATGGCGTGGGGCGTCCTGATGTGCTCTCACGACGTAGGACTACGTAGAATCGGATCGGAGCCGACCGGAGCCGAGACCCCCCTCTGCGTTGCCGCCAGGGGTATCCGCAGAAGGTACCTATACACCACCATGCCTGGCCAGGGCCATCCTGGGCCCTGGCATCGTGCATGCTCCCTCATGGCCTCCGCCAGGGGGGCGTACACATGATGTCAGAGCTAAGGATGGTGTTGGACAGGCATTGTGGTGTGTACATCTGTATGTGCGTTCTGCGTAGGGATGGCCCTCCAACCTGTACAGCCGCTGACTATGCCGGCCTGGCCACGCCGCGGCATCTTAAAGAAAAGTTATGCCAATCATGTATACATCTGTATGTGTATATATAGATAGAGAGAGCACAATATGAGAGAGAGGGAGAGAAAGAGAGAGAGAGAGAGCACAATATATATATAAGAGAGAGAGAGAGAGAGAGAGAGAGAGAGAAATAGAGAGCACAATATATAAGAGAGAGAGAGCACAATATAAGAGATAGCACAATATATGTATATACACAGAGAGAGCACAATATAAGAGTGAGAGAGAGAGAGAACGAGAGAGAGAGAGAAAGAGAGAGAAAGAGCGAGCACGAGCCGAGCACGGAGAGACCGCCCCCTCCTCCAGGCCGTTCCTGGGGCTCCGTCGCTTCTGCGTCGTCCTCCCGCTCGTCGTCCTCCCCCTCTTCCCTTGCCGCCGTCGTCGTCCTCATCGTCCTCCTCCTCCTCCTCCTCCTGCCTCCTCCTGCCTCCTCCTCTTCCTCCTCCTCCTCCTCTTCCTCCTCCTGCCTCCTCCTCTTCCTCCTCCTCCTCCCGCCTTCCCTCCTCCCACGCTCGCCCTCGTCGTCCTCATCGAGCCTATCCCTGCCGCCTCCTCCCGGTGTTCTTGCATCCTGGTCACTTTCTTCGCCCTGGTCTTCGTCCTCTTGTTCCTGCTGCTCATCCCCCTCGTTCTCGTGGTTCCCATTGCCCCCTCCCTCCCCTTCCTCATCCCTACCATCGTGCTCCCCTTCTTCCTTCCCCTCCTCCTCTTCCTCCTCCTCGTCCTCGTCCTCGTCCTCCTCCCCGTCCCCGTCCGCGTCCTCTTCGGCACCGCCCCCGTCCGCGTCCTCATCGGCCCCCTGGATGGGGAGGGGGAGGAGCTGCGCCCAATTCCTCTCGGCGACGAACGCAGGGGGAGGAGGCGGAGGAGGAGGAGGAGAAATAGGAACAGGAACAGGGACAGGAACAGGAGGAGGAGGAGGAGGATGAACAGGAACAGGAACAGAAGGAGGAGGAGGAGGAGGAGGAGGAGGAGGAGGACGAGGAGGAGGAGGGGGAGGAGGAGGAGGAGGAGGAGGTGTTCCGAGGAGGAGGAGGATGAGGAGGACGATATGAGGAGGTGGTGAGGAGGAGGTGAGAGAGGAGGAGGGAGAGGAGGAGGAAGAAGGAGGAGGAGGAGTTAGGAGGAGGAGGGGAAGGGAGGATGACGCGTAGGGAGGAGTACAAGAGGATGGCGAGGCAGGGAGAAGAGCTGAGGAGTCGTCGCCGGCACCGGGCCCGCCGTCCGCGAGCCCCGGGCCCAGGCCGCGCGGCCGCGCGGCCTCCCCCGCCCGAGGCCCCACTCGCGCGCTCGCGACCGATGGCGCCTGCCCCCGCCGGCGCCGCGGGGCGGCGGCGCGCCCTGCGGGGCCGGCGGCTGGGCGCCCCCGCCCCTCTCGGCCCCCTCGAGGAGGAGGAGGAGGAGGAGGAGGAGGAGGAGGAGGGAGAGGAAGATGATGATGATGATGATGATGATGATGATGATGATGATGATGATGATGATGATGATGATGATGATGATGATGATGATGATGATGATGATGATGATGATTATGATGAATATGATGATGATGATGATGATGATGATGATGATGATGATGATGATGATGTGATGAGGATGGTGATGGTGATATGATGATGATGATATGATGATGATGATGGTGATAGGTGATTGTGATGGTGATGGTGATGATGATTATGATGATATGATGTGATGATGATGATTATGATGATGATGATGATGGTGATGGTGATGATGATGATGATGATGATGATGATGATGATGATGATGATGATGATGATGATGAGGATGATGAGGATGATGAGGATGATGAGGATGAGGAGGAGGAGGAGGAGGAGGAGGAGGGGCAGGAGGAGGAGGATAAGGAGGAGGACCTAGGTACAGTGGAGACCCATGCCAAGAAACACCCTGCTTGCCTCCAGGGTGCCCTGGGTTTCTTGGTTTTCGATGGTTTTGCTACGGAGAGCGTGGCGTTCCCCCACCAAAAACCAATAGACGTCCTGGGATCTCAGAGTTGGGTTTCTTGTGGAAGGTTTCTTGCGGTCGAGCTCCTACTGTATGTCGGGGGCGGCAAAGAGGGGGGTGAGGACTAGGGGGGGGGATCTCATGGCGGGGGCCACGATATTGTTCCCCTGATGTCATGGCGCCTCTTATTCTTTCATCACGTCCCTGGCTCCCCCCGCTGGGCCGCGCACATGCCGCCGGTCATGAATTGCACCCCCCCCTCTTGGACACCCCCCTCTTGGCCGCTCCCGAGTATGGCTGCGCTGGGAGATGGTTTGCGATCGGCGCCGTTGGGACCTCCAGGAAGAGCAAACCTCGTAAACATAGACTTTTGGCGCTCCGCGCGGGTTTCTTGGATCCGCGCCTGGGCCCTCCGGCGGCGCCTCCGGCGGCGCCCCTGGCGCGCTCCGCGCGCCAGGAAGGGGGGTCCAGCGCGAATCCAAGAAATCCGCGCGGAGCGCCAACAGTTTATGTGTATGTGTTTTTGTTCTTCTTCTAGACACTGTGCTCGTCGGGCCTCCTCGGGGCGCGGCGGAGAGCCCTGTCGAGGTCCTCGCCCACTCCCCAGGGTGCCCCCCAAGGGTGCTGGTTGCAAACCACACCCTCTGCAAACCACACCCTTCGGGTGCGGCGACCCTTCAGGGCTCAGTTCGATTCCGCCGATTTCATTCGATTCGATGTCGGTGGCCTCCGATTCCCATTCGATTCGGCTTGGGAGTCCGGTTCGGGCTCCGGTTTCCCGTGGGACGCACATTGGCCTGCCGATCTACACCGATTCGACTGTGCCCGACTCGGCTGCCGATTTCCGCCAATCCAGTTCATGTCGATCGCCGATCCGACTCATCGGTTCGATTTCGGGCTCTCCTGCTCCCTCGCTCGGGGCTCGTGGGGCCCAGACCCCCTCTCGGCGGCGAGGGCGGGGGGGAACTCCTCAGCTCGCAGATTCTGAGGAGTGCTGTCCGTGTGCTCGGGGAGGGCTTGGAGCACTTCTGAGAAGGCTCGGGCACTTCTGAGCTTAGTGGGCCCTGGAAACGACAGGGCCGTTTTTGTTACCGGCTCCGTTTTGCCGTTGTTCTGCCGGCTCCGACGCCGTGTTTTTGCCGGTTCCGTCGCCGTTGGTTCACCGGCTCCGGCTCCAGCTCCACTCCTGGAGCAGCTTCCGGGCGCCGTTTGTTTGCCGTTTCCATTTTCGATGGGCATTTTTCGGGAAATGGTGAAAAAACGGCCCTGCCGTTTCCGGGGCCCAGGGAGCTTCTGGGCCTTCCGAGAAGGCCCGCCCCTTGCCGCTGGGGCTCGCCGCGCCGACCCTCGCGTTGTTAAAAAAACCAGCCGGGCAGCCAAGGAACGACTCGGGATGAAGAGTTGGTCCCGGGGAAGGGGAGGAGGAGGAGGAGGAGGAGGAGGAGGAGGAGGAGGAGGAGGAGGACCCGAGGAGGAGTCGAGGGGAGGCGTCGGGGGTTCCGGGAACGGGGGCCAGCGCCGGAGGGGGGTCAGCCGATTCCCGTGGCGGGCCCTGGTTGGAGAGCCACCGGGGGCCAGGACCTCCTGGGGTGCTCGGGAGCCAGCTGGGATGTTCGCCACGCGGCCGCGGCTGTGCCGGGTCTTTTGGTTGGGGTCGGTGCGTTTTCGACCCCCCCCCCAAGATCGGGGGAGCGCCCGGGCTTGCCACTCGGGTTCGCCATCTTTTTTTGACGACCGCCACTCGGATTTTGACGAGTAGGAGTTTCGTGGGATGTCTGCAGCGGGAGGCCTCGTCAAAATGCAGGCTCGGCCGTTTCATTTTTGTTGACGACCTCGTCGGGGATTTCCGAGTCCCCTGTACCCGGGTCGTACGCCCCCCTGAAAGATTTCCAAATGATCGAGGGTTATTCTTGTTGGAATCGAGGGTCGAGGATCGCCCCTCTGCGGGGGGGCGGCGCGAGGGCGTCGCGGGGCACGATCTGCAGAGCTCACTGGAGGCAGCCAGGAGCGCGGGCCGCGAGCCGCGGGCGACCTCCTTAGGAAAACTTCCTCCTCCGCCTCCTCCTCCTCCACCTCCTCCTCCTCCTCCTCCTCCTCCTCCTCCTCCTCCCCCGTTTCCTCCTTCCTCCTCCTTCCCTCTCCTCCTTCTCCTCCTCCTCCTCCCTCCTCCCTCCCCCGTTTCCTCCTCCTCCTCCTCCCCCTCCTCCCCCTTCTCCTCCTCCTCCTCCTCCTCCTCCTCCCTCCTCCTGCCTGCTCCTGCTCCTCCTCCTCCTCCTCCTCCTTTTCCCCCTTCTACTCTTCCACTCCTTCTCCTGATAAATAAATTATCCCTGTCGCACCCCGAGGCCAGTTTCTAGGGCGGGCCAGGCGTTTCGCTGGGCGCTTGTGACTCTGAACGTTAAAAATTGGCGACAGCTTCACAGACGGTGGGCGGCTGGTTTTCAAAATGTGGCTCTCGCCTTAGCGCCGCACGCATTCGTTTTGAATATCCGCAAGAGTTTCGCGGATTGGGGGCGGATGGTTTTCAAAATGTGGTTCTCGCCTCAGCGCCGCGCACATTCTTTTTAAAGATTTGCCAGAGTTTCGTTGATTGAGGGTAGTTCCTTTTCAAAATGTGGCTCTCGCTTTCACGCCGCGGACATTCGTTTTCGAACTGTGCAAGAGCTTCACGGATTGAGGGCGGGTGGTTCTCAACATGTAGTTCTCGGTTTAGCGCCGCGCGCATTCGTTTCAATAGTTTGCAAGAGTTTCACGGGTTGAGGGCGGGTGGTTTTCAAAATGCGGTTCTCGCCTCAGCGCCGCGCACATTCGTTTTCAAACGTTACAAGAGTTGCACGGTTTGAGGGCGGGTGGTTTTCAACATCTGGTTTTCGCCTTAGCGCCGCGCGCATTCGTTTCAATAGCTTGCAAGAGTTTCACGGTTGAGGGCGGTTCATTTTCAAAATGTGGTGATCGCGCTAACGCCGTTTACATTCGTTCTCAAATGTTGCAAGATTTTCACTGGTTGAGGGCGGCTCCTTTTCAAATTGTGGTTTTCGCCGTAGCGCCGCGCACATTCGTTTGAACATTTGTAAGGGCTTCGCGGATTCCCATGATCGGCCTACCAGAAATGCACAATTCAGGATCGTCAAGATGCAACAGTCAAGTTTATCCGCGGCGTTGGGATACCGAGAACAATGTTTTGGCATGATTCAGGGTCGTCAGACGGATGTCTTCGAACGAGGCTGGTCTATCTGTGGAAGGGAACCGTTGCAGGGGCGTGTGAAGAGGGAGTTGGGGGGGGGAGGTTTTGGCGCCAACGTCGTTGGTGACCCTTGGGTTTGCGATGTTCCTTCTCTTCCCCCTCCTCCCCCTCCCTCCCCCTCCCTCCCCCTTTGCTCCCTCCTTTCTCACAGTGAATCACTTCTCCCCGTCGCACCCCGAGGCCAGCTTTTCGGGCAGGCCCGCCGGGCGCATCCTCGCTCGCCCTCTGTGATGCTGACGCCTGACGAACGACAACAGCGTCACGGATTGGAGGCGGGTGGTCTTCAAAATGTGGCTCTCGCTTCAGCGCCGCGCACAGTCTTTCAAGCATCTGCAAGATCTGCACGGATTGGAGGCGGGTGGTTTTCAAAGTGTGGCTCTCGTCTCAGCGCCGCGTGCATTTGGTTCGATCTTGTGCAAGGGCTTCACGGATTGAGGGTTGGTGGTTCTCAAAATGTGGTTCTCGCCTCAGCGCCGCGCACATTCGTTTTGAATATTCGCAAGAGTTTCACGGATTGGGGGGCGGATGGTTTTGAGAATGTAGTTCTCGCGTCAGCGCCGCGCACATTCTTTCTAAAGATTTGCAAGAGTGTCGTTGGTTGAGGGTGGCTCTCTTGCAAAATGCGTCTCTCGCGTCAGCGCCGCGCACATTCTTTCAAACATTTGCAAGATCTTCACCTATTGGAGGCGGGTGATTTCAAAATGTGGCTTTCGTTTTAGCGCCGCGCCCATTTGTTTCAATACTCTGCAAGAGTTTCACTGATCAGGGCGGGTGGTTTTCAAAATGTGGCTCTCGCCTCAGCCCCGCGCACATTCGGTTTAGATATTGGCAAGGGTTTCACGGATTGGGGGCGGCTGGTTTTTGAAATGTGGTTCTCGCTTCAGCGCCGCGCACATTCGTGTTCAAGATTTGCAAGAGCTTCGCTGGTTGAGGGTGGTTCTTTTTCACAATGTGGCTCTCGCGTCAGCGCCGCGTTCATTCTTTCAAAATTTCGCAAGATCTTCACGGATTGGAGGCGGGTGCTTTTCACAGTGTGGCTCTCTTTTTAGTGCCGCGCACATTTGTTTCAATCTGTTGCAAGGGTTTCACGGATTCTCGCCCCAGCCCCGCGCACATTCTACTTACGTATTCGCAAGAGTTTCACGGATTGGGGGCGGATGGATTTTTATTGTAGTTCTCGCGTCAGCGCCGCGCACATTCGTTTTAAAGATTTGCAAGGGTTTCGTTGGCTGAGGGTGATTCATTCATTTTCACAATGTGGCTCTCGCGTCCGCGCCGCGCACATTCTTTCAAACTTTTGCAAGATCTTCACGGATTGGAGGCGGGTGGTTTTCAAAATGTTGTTCTCGTTACAGCGCCGCGCACATTTTTTCAATATTTTGCAAGAGTTTCACGGATTGAGGGCGGGTGGTTTTCAAAATTCGGTTGTCGCTTCAGTGCACCGCACATTGGTCTTGAACATCCGAAAGAGTTGCACGGATTGAGGGTGGATGGTTGTCGAAATGCTGTTATCGCTTCAGCGCCGCGCACATTCGGGGGTTCATGTCCAGTGTATCAAACATGGTGTTTTGGAATGATCCTGGGTTCTGCGGGCGCAACAGTTATGTAGAATCGCGGTGTTGAAGTCCCAAGAATGGCGTTTCGGCACAACTCCAGATCGTCAGGACGTAGCAGTCAGGTTGATCAGTGGCGTGGACATCGAAAGAACAATGCTTCGGCATGCATCAGGGTCTTCAAACGGTTGTCTTCCAACGAGGCAGTTCCCCCAATGGAAATGAACCGTTGTAGGGGCCTATGAAGAGGGAGCTTGGAGGGAAGGTTAATTCCAACATCGTTGTTGACTCTTGGGCTTACACTGGTCCCCCTCCTCCTCCTCCTCCTCCTCCACCTCCTCCTCGAGACACTCGCTCACGCGCGGGTCGGTCGGTCGCGAGTGCCGCAAACGCCGGGATAATTTAGGGCGCATCAAGAAGGGGCTCTTCCCTTCTCATTCTGGCGCCTGGAGGTCACGAGACATCGCTCACGCGCGGGTGTTGTCCGCTGCTACACATCGTGCTGAGGTTGAGCGACAGCCAGAAACCACCCCGCCGTTTGAAGCGGCCCCTCCCCACGGAGGGGGAGAAGGGCTGGGGGGAAGGGACCGTTGGGGTCGCCTCTGGGGGTTCTAGCTCTCTTCCCTCCTGCCCTCTCTTTCCCTCTTCAGCACACTGTGTTTCACAAAGAGTCCAAAGAGTTCTCCTCCTCCTCCTCCTCCTCCTCCTCCTCCTCCTCCTCTTTCTTCTCCTCCCCCGAGGCCCCACCGTGTGGGGAGTCCGTGGGGGTTCGGGGTGCTCGCACGGTCTTGGGGGATCCGTCGCTCTCCAGACGCCTCGGGCCAGCGGCCCCCAGGACGGTCCGTGGACGGACCCAGAGATCCAACGCATTGAAAAAATCAAGACGGAGGTTTTTCGTATTTTTCGGCCTCGAGGGGCCCTCAGGACGAGAAACCGGTCCCGGGGAATGGGTCGAGACTTCTGGGGACCCCGTATTGAAAAAATCACGACATCGGATCTCTCGGGACCGTGCGGCGAGGCCTTTGCAGGTGTCGAGGGCACCGCGAGAGGCGACCAAAGAACAAACGACACCACCCCGCATGCGGCCCTCCACGTTGCGCTGCGGCATCCCGGGGGGCCGTAGCGTATACCACGGAAGAGCCCACGCCAGATTGCCGGGTATACGCGAAGCCCCGTGGGGCCACAGGCAGGGTGGTGTCGTTTGTGTCTTGGTCCAAAGATCGAGTAGGGGATCGACAACAGAACTTATTCACCCCAGCGTTAGCTCTTCCCCATCGAATCTACGACGAATGCATCGATTGTTCGCACATCTACTAGGAATTCTAAGCACTCTTCCGTAGATCCGACGAGAAAATTGATTTGGGGGTGAATCAATTCTGTAGCCGATCCCCTACTCGAAAAGAGGCCTGTCACCGAACCCCTTGGGACCCCTGGCCCAGGCATCCCCCAGAAGCTCGACCCCAGGCGCGGGCGCAGCCCTGCTGGTCGCGGGCTGCCTGGCGCCCGCTTTCGTGCCGGGCGGCGCCCCGGTGGGCGCCGGCCGCCGCGCCGCGCTTGCGCAGCAAGGCTGGCGCCAACGTCGTTGCCGCCGTCGCCGTCGTCGTCGCCGTCAGCAGCACGGAGGCCCGGGAGGTCCCGCAGGCAGACAAGGCTCGAGCGTAACGGTGTTAGGGCGATTTCGTGGGCCGTTGTCGATCTGGTTTCGTGCTGGAGCAAGGGCGGAGCGAGGACGAGTCGAAGGAGCACGAGTGCGAAGCGCAAGCGCAGAGCACTGCTCAGCTCGAGCCCTGCATGGAGGTGCCGTCTCGTCTCCGGGCTCCCGGGGCCCTGCGCGGGCCCCACGGGCCGTCGAGAGACGGCCCGCGGGATGAGAAGCTGACCCCATCGAAACCCCTGGGGACCAGGACCCGTCTCCACAAATCAGAGCGTGAATTACGGTAGGTTCGCGTCGTGTCGACCGGCGGCGACCCCGCCGCGGGCGTTCAAGGTTGAACGCCGCCGGCGGCCCAGAATCGGTCGATGTTGAACGATCGGACGTTGCGGCAGCGGCCGATCGTTCAAGGTTGAACGATCCCCGCGGTGTCAGAAACCAACGCCGAAGTCGGCACGACACGGACCTGCCGTACCCCGCTTTCGCTTCCAGGCAAAACCAAGCCACACCACGCGCCTCCTCGTCGAGCGGCCTGACCAGCACAGGCCGTAGTTTGGCATCGCTTGGTATCTCTTGGAAGCGAGGGTGGTCAAAAAGCGAGGCAGGTTTGTTTGCCCCCTAGAGAAGCGGACCCGTCTCCACAAAGGCCAGGGCGCCCCATGCCAACATCAGACCAGAGAGCGCCTTGGCGCGGAGGGTCCGCCCGGAGGGCTCACGAGACAGGCAGCCCCCAGCTCCCTGGCTCGCGTTCTCCCGATGCGGCCACGCGGGGGAGGCAGCGCACGCTGGGAGGGCGTCCTGCACGCCACGAAGGGCGCCTGCGCTCCAGCCTCGCAGGAAGTGTTCCACGGAGCCGTACGTGGGGAGGAAGGCCTCGCTCGTTCGTGGCCTCCTGCTCCTTCAAAGAGCATGCGATTGAGGCCTGAATCCCCACCAAATGCGCGAGGCGAAGGCTCACGCGGGGAAGCTCGCGCAGGCTTCAGGACGTCCAGACCTGCGCGCGGCAGGGCTGGCGTCCCCCACCGCCGTCATTCTGTCGCACCTCTTCGGTGGAGTAAGAGCGTGGGGCTCGACAATAAGCCATCGTGGACCCCGAACATTGTGCCCTAGCGTACTACGTGGTACATTATATATATATATATTGATATATATATATATATATATATATATATATGTGGTGCAACCGATGTGGTGCAATTAATTTCTGTTAGCAGTGAGTTGCCCACCCCGCTGCTCGCGCGATCATCCCACCGACCAGCCCGCAACTTGGTTTTCAGAAGCCATGCAGCGGCGATTGCGATCAGTGCTTGGAGTTGGCTGGTGCATCTCTGCGGCCGCGTTGGCCCGCACATGCTCGCGCGCGCAGCGGCCAGATAGTTTGGCGCGACCGACGCGGCCGCGGTGGCGCTGACCGCTGGGCACTTCCCAGCGGGCGCTTCAGTGCGAGTCGGCGACTTGGGCGGGCGCGGTATCATGGCATCGTGGACAGCGGTAGACGCGATGATGATGGTAGCGATGTTGGTGACGATGGTGACACCGACGATGGCAAGGTCAGTGGCGGCGCCGATGCTAATCACGCCGACGACGATGACGGCACACTCGCGTGGGCGATGAATATTTTGGACGGCATTCGATTTGCGCGCGCGGCCGACGCGCGAGATTGGCCCGCATTGTATTTTGGAATCGCTTCGCTCACTCCGCCGGCCCATTTCGCATGACTGAGCCTCTTGGGGCCGCTGGGGGGCCTCTTCAGCGTCGCGCGGGGGCCTCCTGAGGGCCTCTTGGGGGCTTTGGGGGCCTTTCAGGGGCCTCTTGAGGCCTCCTGGGGGCTTCTTAAGGCCGAGGGCTCGAAGTTTTGTTTTGTGTTCCCCCATTGGGGCATCGCTTGGGGCCCTCTTGGGCCCCTCTTGGGCCGTCTTGGATGCTTCTGGGGCCGTCTTGGAGCCCTCTTGGGCCATCTTGGGGCCTTCTTGGGAGCTTCTTGGGCCCTCTTGGGGCGATCTTGGGGGCTTTTTGGGCCGTCTTGGGGCGTCGGGAAGCCGAACAGATGGACACGCCAAACTCTGCCCAAAACCTAAGGACAAGTAGTGAATGTTGCCTCTTGGGGCCCTCTGGGGAGTGCTCTTGGAGGCCTCTTGGGGCGTCTGGGGACCATCTTGGGCGTCTTAGAACGATCGTGTGGCATCTCGGAGCACTCCTTGAACCATCTTGGAGGGCTCTTGGCGGCCTCGTGGCCCTTCTTGGGGCTCTCTGGAGGGCCACGGGCCACGGGGGCGGCGCCCAGGAGGAAAACCATCTCTGACCCGAGGCTGCCGGGGATCGCCAGGGGTACTTTTCGTCCGGGGACCCCCAGGGGCCGCCCCGCGCGCGCGAAGTAGAAGTATTATTTAGCAGTTGCCGGAGATTTTAGCACGACTCTGGCACGTTGGGCCGGCGAATTTGGTTCGGATCGTGCCCCAGCACGCGCGCAAGAGCGTTCGAATTGTTTCGACGTTCGGCGCGATGGGCCCTTTTGGCCGAATCCCATCACCATGTTGAAATCCTTTGGCGAGGCGAGTTAAGAATTCGCAGGAGCGCGAGCGCGGGCATGTTTGAACACTTACGCTGTAAAGCCATGTGTTTTATATGTGTTCGGTATAGTCGGTTTTGGCACCCGTCGAAACAAAGAGTTTTTGCATGATGTCGGCACGCGCGCGCAATCGTTTTGAATGGAGCACTGCGGTCACACACATCACCTCGCTCCTTCCCGCGTGCCAGCTTGCCTCCTACCTGGTCATCCATGGGGGGGCTGCGTTCTGTGGATCTGCCGCCACTTTCGGGGGCTGCCGGGGTGCCCGGCGGAACGACGTCTTACGCGCAGCCAAATTAAACCTCGCCATCCCTGGAGGGTTGCGACTGGCGGAACTGCCGCCGCTTTCGAGGGCTGCTGGGGGGCCTGGTGGAGCGACGTTTTACGCGGACTCAAATTTGACCCCGCCGTCCCACGCGGATGCAAATTATACATCGCCGTCCCTGGGGGGCTGCGATTTGCGAAACTGCCGCCGCTTTCGAGGGCAGCGGGGGGGTCCAGTGGGGCGACGTCCTACGCGGACCCAAACCCGACTTCGCCATCCCTGAGAGGGGGGGGAAGGGGGGGGGGGCTGCGATCTGCGAATTTGTCGCCATTTCGAGGGCTGCGGGGCGGGGGGCCCAGCAGAATGACGTCCCGCGCGGATTCAAATTCGACCTCGCCATCTCTGGGGGCCCGCGATCTGCGGAGCTGTCGCCACTTTCGGGGGCTGCTGAGGTCCAGCGGAACGACGCTCCACGCGGGCTCACACTCAACTTCGCCATCCTTGGGGGGCTGCGATCTGCGAAACCGCCGCCATTTTCTATGGTTGCTGAGATGTCCAGCGGGGTGGCGACGCACGCAGACTCAAGTTGGTCCTCGCCACCCTTGGGGGGTTACGATCTGCGACACTGTCGCCGCTTTCGAGGTCTGTTGGGGGGTCCAGCGTAGTGACGTCCTACGCGGATTCAAGCTAGACGTCGCCATCCCTGGGGGGCTGCGATCTGCGAGTGTCGCCACTTTTGATGGCTGCTGAGGGTTCCAGCGGAGCGACGTCTTACGCGGACACAAACTAGATCTCGCCATTCCTGGTGGGTTGCCGTCTGCGAGATTGTCCCCACTTTCGAGGGCTGCTGGTGGGTCCAGCGGAGCGACGTCTTACGCGGACTCAAACTTGACCTCGCCATCCCTGGGAGGAAGCGATCTGCGAAATGTGAGTCCGCGCAGGACGGCCTCTTGGGGCCCGCTTGGCCTGTTTTGGGGCCCTCTGTCCCCCATGGCGCGTTCGGGGCGTCCCCTGTGGACACCCCCTCCGTCCAAATCGACCGGACCGGGCTCCCGGGGAAGGGGCTTGGGGGAAGCGTCCCACACGCCGATGCAGCCCAAGGGGCCGGCGGATTTGGCAGTGCAGGCGCTGGGTCCCCGAAGGAACCCTTCAGGAGTGAGGGCTGAGAGGCCCAGGGGAGTGGGCCAGGGACCCGAGGGCACGCCCGCTCCGCGCCCAGCGGCACGGTGGCGGAGGTTGCGCAACCTCTGTGGTGCAGGCTACAGTCGGGGCCCTGAAGAACCCTTTTCGTCGGGGAGGGGCTCCGCGTTCCTGAAGTGTTTCGCGGCTTGCCGCAGGCTTTCCTCATGCTTTCGACCGGGAATCGAAGGTTAACCGATGGAAAACGGGGGCCTCGTTCCTTATAATTAGGGCTCCTTAGGTCAACGCCCCGACTGTACTTGTGGTGCCACGGGCGGCGACGGAGCGGCGACGGGGCGCTCACAGGCCCGCCGGGGCGGCACCGAGCCCCGGGCGCGGCGGGCGGCGGGCGGCGGCGAGCGGAGGCGGGGCCACGGGAAGCCACGGGAGGAGGAGGAGGAGGAGGAGGAGGAGGAGGAGGAGGAGGAGGAGGAGGAGGAGGAGGGGGAGGGGGAGGAGGAGGAGGAGGAGGAGGAGGAGGAGGAGGAGAGGGAGGAGGGGGAGGGGGAGGGGGGAGGGGGAGGGGGAGGGGGAGGAGGAGGAGGAGGAGGAGGAGGAGGAGGAGGAGGAGGCGGAGGAGGAGGAGGAGGCGGGGAGGAGGAGGAGGAGGAGGAGGAGGAGCCCAGCTCCTTGTCACAGCAAGCAAGCAGGGGCCTCTGGTTGCGGGCACCGTGCGGGGACAGACAGATCCCGTCTTCGGCCCTCCCTCCCGTGCTCCTCCGGCGCCGAGGCTTCCGGCGCTTCACTTCTCTTCCCCCTCGCCCTGGGCGTTCTCGTCCTCCGTGTCTCCGCCCTGTCCTGGATCTCTGGTTCCTCCTCGTGCCTGCCCCGCCCCTCCCCCGGGTGGGTCTCGCCCACCTGGTCGGGCTCCTCCCTGTCCTCCTCGCGACATCTGCTCCTCTTGCTTCTCCCCTCCTTGCTGCTCCTGATCCTCTCTGCCCCTCCTGCTCGCCATGCTCCCGTTCCTCCCCTCCCCCCTCCATATCCCTCCTTCTCTCCCTTCCTCCTCCTCCTCCTCCTCCCTCCTCCAGTCTTTCCTCCTCCTCCTCCTTCGTCCTCACACCCGCTTACTGACTCCCCCGTCTACTTCTTACCGAGGAGGAGGACAGATGACGAAGGGGGGATGAATGCAGAGAAGGAGATTGCTCTCCCTCCCCATCCCCTTCCTCCTCTATGCGCCGATGCTGCGTCAAGTACCGCGAAGGCTGCACTGGAATCGAAACATCGTCGATTACTCTCTCCTCTGCCTACCTCCACGACCAATATCGATACGATCGATCCGATCCGACATCGATCTCGGTAGACCTGAGCAACTTCCGACGATCCGATGGAGCCCGATGCTTGTATGGCGTCGTGGTGCATCCTGGCGCGGCCGATCCGATTCGATTCTGACTCCGTGCCGATACGGGCCGATGCGACGCACATTCCAATCAGGTCCGATTACTCGGTTCGGTGCTGACTGACCTTGCCTTCCCTCCTCGAGACCCTCCTCCCCTCGCGTCAGGCATCCTGGCTGCTGTCCTGGCGGGCTCCCTCGCAGAGCCCGCGCGCGCGGACGAGGAGGAGAAGAAGCCGTCCAAGTGGAGACCCTCCGCACGGGCTTGACGACGTCGACGGCAGCAGTGTCTACGGCGACGACGATGATGGTGGCGGCGGCTGCGACGGCGACGGCGACGACGACGGTGGGGGGAGGAAAAGAGAGGGGGGATGAGAAAGACGGGGGATGGACGAAGAGACGGAGTGGGGAGGACGCGGACGATGGTCCGCGTCTCCTTTCCCTCGTCTCCCTCTCCATCCGATTTCTCCACCGCGTCCTCGTCATCGTGCTGCTCCTCCAGCCTTGTCCTCTCGCTCCCCCAGCCTCGTCCTGCTCCTCCGGCCCTCTCCCGCCTCCCCCATTGCGGCCTTGCTTCCAGCGTTGGTACGGTGGGACTCGCCTCGGGGACAGTCCCGCGGCCCAGATGGGCTCTGACGCTGAGCCGTTGGATACTCCAGATTTCGTAATCAAAGGGAGGGGGCCTGGACCCTCCAAGACAAGCCATTCCAGGCCCCCCTCCCGCAGGAGAGCCCTCCTAAACATCGTCCCCAGACCCCCCCAGGCCCTCCAAGATCGCTTGGAAGAGACCCCCCCGAAATGAGACCCCCCTCCCGTTCTTACGAAATCTGGAGTACCTGGACCGCTGGCTGTCGGGGGGTGGGGCCCGTGAGCCCCGATCACGTCCCGCTGCGGGCGCCTGGACTGGCGGCCCGCGCGCGGCGAGGGGCGGCGCGGACCCCAGATTGGACCACGCCTCGGTCCCTCGTGCTCTCGGCCTCCTCGTCCTGCTCCTCCGCTCCTGGCCCCGAGGCCCCCCCGTCTTCCGCTGGCCTCGGAGGACGCCCGCATCGCCCCCGAGCCCCGAGAGTCCCGCCCCCACGGCAGGGGGGCAGGGACGAGCAAAGAGGGGCACTATCCCCGGGTGATCCCGGCGGCCGCACGGCCGCCTCGGCCGAGGGCACCTGCCGTCCCGATATCCCCCCCCCTCGAGCGGGGCCGAAGGCTCGGGAGCGCCGAGGCCCACGGCCCCCCCCCCCCCGCCTTCCCCCGCTGCCCCCTCCCTGCCGCTGCTCCCCCGGGGCCGCGCCCCCAGGCCTCCGGCCGCGGGGCTTCCCTCTGGAGACGCCGGCACCCCACCGGAGCTCTTGGAGGCTCGATGCTCCCCCTTCGGCGAAGGGGCCCGGAAGCGGGCGCGCGCGCGGCTCCCCCCCCCCCCCCCTCCTCCTCCTTCCCCCCCCCTCCTCCTCCTCCTTCCCCCTCCTCCTCCTCCCTCTCCCTCCTCCCCTCCTCCCTCCCTCCTCCTCCTCCTCTCCCTCCTCCTCCCCTCCCTCCTCCTCCTCCTCCTCCTCCTCCTCCTCCTCCCTCCTCCCTCCTCCTCCTCTCCTCTCCTCCGCCTCCTCCTCATCATCATCCTCCTTCCCTCCTCCCTCCTCCCTCCTCCTCTTCCTCCCTCCTCCCTCCTCCCTCCTCCCTCCTCCCCTCCTCCCTCCTCCTCCCTCCTCCTCCTCCCTCCTCCCTCCTCCCACACCTGCAGGAGCGGCAACTGGGAGGACCCGGATGCGCCAGGCCCGCGGCGCGCGTTGCGTGGCCGAGGAGGACGGCGAGTCAGAGCCCCGAATCATCAGGGGTAACTCGGGTCAGGGTTACTTCGGGTTCGTTTTCAGGAGTCCGAACCCGAGTTATCCCAGACCCGAGTTATCCCGGATATTTCGGGCGCCCAGAGCCCCGAATCATCAGGGATAACTCGGGTCAGGGTTAACTCGGGTTCGTTTTCAGGAGTCCGAACCCGAGTTATCCCGGACCCGAGTTATCCCGGATATTTCGGGCGCCCAGAGCCCCGAATCATCAGGGATAACTCGGGTCAGGGTTAACTCGGGTTCGTTTTCAGGAGTCCGGACCCGAGTTATCCCGGATATTTCGGGCGTCCAGAGCCCCGAAGCATCAGGGGTAACTCGGGTCAGGGTTAACTCGGGTTCGTTTTCAGGAGTCCGAACCCGAGTTATCCCGGACCCGAGTTATCCCGGATATTTCGGGCGTCCAGAGCCCCGAATCATCAGGGATAACTCGGGTCAGGGTTAATTCGGGTTCGTTTTCAGGAGTCCGAACCCGAGTTATCCCGGACCCGAGTTATCCCGGATATTTCGGGCGTCCAGAGCCCCGAATCATCAGGGGTAACTCGGGTCAGGGTTAACTCGGGCTCGTTTTCAGGAGTCCGAACCCGAGTTATCCCGGACCCGAGTTATCCCCGGATATTTCGGGCGTCCAAGCGAGGGTGAGCACGGCAGGGCTTGGAGGGAAAGGAGGGAGGAGGGACGGAAGGAGGGCAGGAAGAGGAGGACGGAAGGCGGGAGGGAGGAGGAGGAGCGGGAAGAGGAGGGAGGGGAGGACGGCAGGAAGGCAGGAAGAGGAGGGGCGGAGGAGGAGGAGCCAGCAGGGGTTACAACCCTTCCAGAGGGGGCGCATGGCCTCGCCCCGCCCCCTCCCCCCATGGTCAGTCCACCTCTGCGGCCAACCTCTCTCGGCGCGCTGCTGCTGTATACGTGCATGACCTCCCCCCAGCGCCGGCGTGCATGCGCGGTGCAGGAGGGCACGGCCCGTGCACGGGTGGATCCCAGCAAGAAGGAGGATCACCAGACACACGTGAAGCGTCGTTCACACCATTTCGACACCGAGAAGCTCTGAAATATCAGATGGAATATGTGTCCCCGTCAAGCCCACGGGATGCTCCACAGGCTCTTTGGATATTGTTCTGCACATGCCGGGCTGCGCCGCGATTGCAGATTACAGTAGTCACATGGGGTAGGTATGGTTCGTGGTTAGCACCTGGTTCACCAGGCCACCACGTATTCTTGACGTCGGGGATTTGCGTATTGTACGTTGAGGAGGGCTGAAAGCATACAACATAACGAACAAATCCTGGCCGCCCAACCCAGTTGACATGAATATGCACCTGAACAACACATGTTTGGCTCCCATGCCGAAAGAAATGCCATCCACTTCACGCCTGAACTGCATACCATGGGAACGCGTGGCAATAACCCCTTGCACAACTGCTACACCGAAGGCGATACCGACATCGACTCCACAAAACTGCTACAGCCGGGGACCTCACCCATGAATGGTAACATGGTTTGTGCGCCTCTCCTCCTGCGGGATGAAGATCGGCACGGAAAGACGGAGGAGAAACCACGCGCATGCACCTGTGCATCTCGCGGAGAAAGAACCGAACACGTGTGGGCGCCCCCTGTAGTGAGCCTGAATCTGCCCATGATCACATGCGGGCTCCCCGCTCACAGGAAACATGCCGCCCGCACCCCTGCGGAACTCACCTGCTCACTCACCTAGGAGGAGGAGGAGGAGGAGGAGGAGGAGGAGGAGGAGGAGGAGGAGGAGGAGGAGGAGGAGGAGGAGGAGGAGCAGGAGGAGCAGGAGGAGCAGGAGCAGGAGGAGGAGGAGGAGGAGAAGTATCGGGGGGAGCGCGTGGCAGCGGCCCCTCCCACGAGCGGAGTGCTTTGCACCTCAGCGGATGGCGACCTCGGCACCACTTACCTGGCATCGCTCGGACGTGTGCATTTTTTCTCGGCGAGAACCATCGAGGACCATCCTGGACCATCGAGCAAAAAAAAACACGCACGTAACCGAAAACTGCACGGGAAATGGACGTCCGAGCGATGGCAAGCTTAACCTGCGGCAGCCGTGAGCCTGCCCCCATGAACGGAATGACGGTGTAGAGCACAGTCGTGCGCCCCACCTCCACGTTGGATGAATAAGAACCCCGTGCACGTTGGTCGTTGAACGTAGGTAGTTTGGGGACCGCAAAGATCCCAATATGCTTGAAGCACGTTCCCATTTCAAGAACCGGCATGCTTTTTCTGGGTGTTGTTGTTCTCTGGGCGGGCCTGACCCCAAGCCACTTGATCCGCCTTCCTATTTGTTCTTTATATGTATTCCGACCGACGTGTAGCCTGTGTTCCTTTTGCCCTCGCACCCGTCAAGCCACGGGCCGTTGTCAGATCAGGGGCTCGGAGTCCCAACTACCCACGGCGGCGCTCGAGCGATAGGCCACCACGGGAACCCGTCGTTGCACTCTGGCTTTGTTGTGCGCTTGCGCAAGCTGGTGAGCCAAAAGGTGATGCGACAGGGCCGATGGTTTGAGAGCAGGAGGAGGAGGAGGAGGACGAGGATGAGGACGGGGAGGAGACGGAGGAGGAGGAGGAGGAGGAGGAGGAGGAGGAAGAAGTAGGAGGGAAGGGGGCAGGGGGAGGAGGAGGAGGAGGAGGAGGAGGAGGAGGAGGAGGAGGAGGAGGAGGAGGAAGGAGTAGGAGGGAAGGGGCGGGGGAAGAGGAGGAGGAGGAGGAGGAGGAGGAGGAGGAGGAGGAGGAGGAGGAGGAGGAGGGGAGGAGGGGAGGGGGAGGGGGAGGAGGAGGAGGAGGAGGAGGAGGAGGAGGAGGAGGAGGAGGAGGGGGAGGAAGATGAGGAGCTCATGAGGTCGTGAAATCGAGGCCGGGGCCCGGCATGCGCCAGGCTGCAGGCGCCAGGTGATCGTGAACTTCGACGGCACGAAGGCGGCCATCCGAGGCACGGCCTCGCTGGGGAACCCGAACGTCGGGCTGGTGGACAGCAAGCCCGGCGTGGACCGGTCGGCCTGCAACCCGGGCGACAAGACCGTGAAGTGGTGCTCGCCGCGGAAGAGAACCCAGACCTTCCCCGACAACCTCCCATGTCCAAAAATCTAGCGACGCAGGGGTTCGGGCAATGTCGGCTTCTGGGATGAGAGGTTGCCCCCTTGGGGAGGGGTCGGTGCGTCTGGGGACTGCGCGTTGAAAACTACTCTGTCGGGTCTCGGGGAAAGGAGCCATGGAACGGGCTTGGAAGGTCTTTTCGCTTTCCGCGTTCGGCCTCCTCTCTTGCCCCCCCAGGGCCCTGCTCTTAAGAGGCTCCCGTCGCCACGTCTGGACTCCACTTCGCAGTGCTTGCCAGAATGAGCCCCCAGAGAGGTCCAGGGCCGATTGGTCAGGGCTGTCGTGGGCATGAAGGTTCCGGGTTCTGTATGAGAGGGGTCCTGGAGATCCAGGGGCGCTCCCCAGGCGCCAGGTCCACCGAGAGACGGGGCGGGATGAAGAGCTGGTCCCGTGGAAGGCCCAGCGGCCCAGGAGTTAGTTGCACCAGGGCCTCCGTTGCCCTCATGCCAAGGTCCGCCTACGCGACGCTAGAGTCTGCGGACGCCGACTCGATGACGATCGATTTTAGCAAGGCTCGGGATAAGAAATGCAGTCCAAAGCCCTTCCCCTCGTTTTCTCCTTCTGAGCCCCCTGTGGGGAAACCTCGTCGCCACGGCTGGACTCGCCTCGGCGTGCTCGTCAGAGCGCACCTAGGGAACGAGAGATCTGGGGGGAAGTGGTATCTCACAGCAGGCCTTGATTGGTAGGTCGACCATGCCAAATCGAGGGTACCCTTGAGTCCTGTCTATCCAGACCTGTGCAGCCCGCATGTCCTTCTGGTGTTCTGGGGCCACGCTGCCGTCGGAAGAGTGATGTGTCCTCCTCGTGTGTCCTATGCAATCGAGTAATCGAGCGTATGCCATCCCCCGAGAGGCGGGTGGCCCGGCGGACGTTGTCGTGAAGTGGAACGGCGGCCAGATGCAGTTCCCAGACGGGGTGAAGTGGAGCAAGGCGCGGAAGTGAGGCCTTGGCGCCGCGGGCCTGCGCGTGGGGATCCTTCGCGCGGGGCCCGCCGTCCGCTGTCCAGCGCCTGCTTTCCTCCTCGTCCTCCCCGTCTCCATCCTCCCCATCCCCACGTTCGTCTTCCTCTGCCTCATCCCTCCTTCCTCTGCCTTTTGCTTTTCGTTCTGTTCCTCTTCCTCGCCCCTCGTCCTCTCCACCCCTTTTCTGCTCTTCCTGTCTTCTCCTCCCTCATCCACTCCACCTCCCTGCTCCCTTGTCCCTCCTCGATCACTCCTCCCTCCCTCTCCCCCTCGTTGCCGCTCCTTCCCTCTCGCCCCATCGCGGAGCCAGCCCGATGGAGCACCAGACCCTTGCAGAGCCAGCTTCTGCGGCCAAGCGTGCAACCCATCAGCCTTCCTCCATACCACCCCATTGCCATCGCTGCCCACGACACTCATTCTCGCCCTCTCGACTCTGTGACAACCGCCAGAGTGGATGAGCGTCAGGGAGCGCTTGACAGGCAGGCGGCGGATGGGCGCCGCCGGCTGCGGAGTACAGGCGAGACAGATCGTGAGGATGAGTGGCCGTCCCAGGGCGCCCTGTCATCGTTGCATCTTCGGCCCGTCCTCGGCCACTCTCGCTGCCCCTTTTTCGCTGAAAGCATTCGCTTCGGGCGTCCAAGTTTCCTTAAATCCTGACCGCGCGTCCCTGCATTCCTTCAGGAGGAGGGAAAAAAAAGCACACAGACACAATGAATCGTCGACTCCCCGGAGAATGTGGGAACATATGGGCAGTGGGTGGGAAGACAGACGCCCGGAAGATATGGGAGACTATGGGGGATATGTTTATTTGTGTGTACTTATTTGTGTGTCCTGGGCATCCGTTGCTCGGGAGGGGAGGACACACACGGACACAACGCATCGCCGATGCCCCAGGAAGTATGGGGCCTCGTTCCTTATTTAGGGTTCCTCGTTCCTTATTTAGGGTTCCTTAGGTCAAGGCCCCGACTGTATGGGCTGGCGGCAGCCCGCTGCAGGCCGAGCGGCCACAATTCCGAGCCGCTCGGCGGGGCTGGCGCCCGCGGCCTCGGGCGGTGCGTGCGGTTCGTGCCGCTCGGCCAGCGCCGCGAGCCTCCTGCAGACCCGCGCACCCGCTACTCAGGAGGAGGAGGATCCTGCAGACCCGCGCACCCGCTACTCAGGAGGAGGAGGAGGAGGAGGAGGAGGAGGAGGAGGAGGCGGGAGGAGGAGGAGGAGGAGGAGGAGGAGGAGGAGGAGGAGCAGGAGGGGGACAGGCCCGACTTACTTCTGGGGTCGACGGCCTGACGTCGCCCCTCCGCGGCGGCGTCGGGGCGCACACGGACACACACGGACACAATGCATCGCCGGTGCCCCAGAAAGTATGGGAAACGATGGGCAGTGGGGGGAAGGCAGAAGCCCAGAAAAAAATATGGGGACATGTGGGTCATCGTTTTATGCTTGTGTGTGTGTGTGTTTATTTGTGGGTCCCAGGGCCCCTTCGGCTAGGAGCTGCAGGCAGTGCGAGAAGAGGCGCCCCGAGCCTTGGGTCACCCCTGCGGGCGCGAAGATGATCGCGCTTCGCGCGTCGCGGCGCGGGGTTGCTTCTGTTTCGATGCGCCCTGCTGTGTGCGAGCGTGTACCCTGGGAGCTCTCGGCCCCGGCGAACAAGTTTCTTCTGTACCGCTCTTCGCCCGTGAATCCAGGGCGGCGGCGCGAAGGCACGCAGAGTATCGCGCGGCGCGCGGCGCGCGATGCGCGGTGCGCGCAGCTCCCGGGTGGCCCCGGGAGCCCCTCGGGCAGCCAGGCGGCCGGCCGGCGCGCGCATGGAAGCGTTGCGCGGCCCGCCTGCGCGTGGTGGGGCCCGCCGCCCGCCTCGCGGGCCCACGTGCTGCAGCAGAGGGCGGAGCGGGGAGGATCGGTTCGCATCGGGGCGCAGGAGACCCAGACCCCCTCGAGTAGTGAAAAAATCATGGCGGGAGCTTCTTCCTGATTTTCGGCCTCCTGGGGCCCTCACCGGGCCTCGGGAGCGTCAAAAAACGACTCAGGATGCAAAGCCGGTCATGGGGAAAGGGTCGGGACCTCTGGGGGTCGACGTAATGAAAAAATCATTATGTCGGGGGTCTGGGGACGGTGGTGATGGGTCTATTTTCTACCAACACAACTACCACCACCAGAAGTTGGAGGGGGAGAGGGTCCTCCTCCTCCTGCTCCTCCTTCCTCCTCCTCCTCCTCCTCCCCTGCATCCCCTTCTTTTCCCCCCTCCAACTCATGGTGCTGGTGGTGGAAGACAGGCCCATCAGGGGTCAATGCAAGCGGGAGTCAGCCAGAGCGCCAGACCTTGCAGGATCCTGCAGTGGCAGGGTCGCATTGACCCGGGCTTGGGTGCAGGATCCTGCAGCATCCTGCAGGGCCAGGGTCGCTCTGACCCTGGCTTGGCTTCAGGATCCTGCAGGACCCTGCAGGATCCTGCGATAATGCAAGGCCGGACTGACCCGGGTCTGGATCTTTGTGGGCCCCGGAAACGGCAGCGCCGTTTTTTCACCGTTTCCAACGAAATGCCCCTTGAAAATAGAAATGACAAGGAAACGGCGACCAGAAACGGCAAATCAACAGCGCCGGGGATTGGAACCGGAGCCGGAACCGGTCAAAAAAACGGCGACAGAACCGGTAAAAAAACACGGCGTCGGAACCGGTCAAAAAACGGCAAAACGGAACCCGTAAAAAAACGGCCCTGTCGTCTCCAGGGCCCACTGCGGTCTGGACTGTCCCAGGTCAGCAGGCCCCCGATCGGATCGGCTGTCCGCGGAAAGGGCCCGCACGGGGCCGTCAACCCGGGGGGGGGTGCAGCACGAGTGAACATCAGAGCCCAAGACGCCTCATAAGGGCTCATTGCTCGGGGCTGGACAGACCTCCTACCCTGACACGTCGACTAGTGAACTGAGTAACCATTTCGCTCGAACCTGGTGGCGCCGGCTGCTGATCCCCGCGCTGCAATCGCGGCCGCCCGAGGTGCCACCTTGGCGGCCCATTCGGCGGCGGGGCTGGCCCTCGGAGCGCCTGCGGCTTGCCGCATGCTGCGCGCCGCCGAGGGCCTGTGCAGGGCGGCGGCGGCGGAGCTGGAGGCTTCGCGACGCCGTGCTGCTGCTCCTCATCGTCCCCCTGACGCCGAGCATGATGGAGCCCCTGATGATCCCGCGGGTGGCCTGCCGCCTGGCGCCGCGGCGCCGCGGCGGAGGCGACGGCGCCGTCGACGTCGGCGAGGAGCCACTGCTGCAGAGACGAAGGAAATGGACGTGGAGGGCGAGGAGGTCGCCGAGGCCATGATGGAGGACGACAGCTGGGCGGACGAGCTGCCTGCGCAGCCGAGCCGCCCGCCGTCCAGCGCGGGGCGGCGCACGAGCCGCGCGGGCGCGCCCGCGTCGGTGGGCAAGGACAAGGGCATGAGCGCCACCCAGCCCCTCGGCGACGGTGGAGGAGCGGCCGCGCCCCGCGGCGGGGCCGCGGTGGCGGCGGCGGCCCACGCCTCCTCGGCAGGCCAGGAGGCCCTGGCGGTGGCCGACGGCGGCGGTGCTGGTTCGGCGCAGCTCGGCACGGCGCAGCCCTGCCGCGAGGAGCGGGTCGACGAGCACATCAGGCGTGCTCGCAAGATGGCGCTGCAGAATCTCCGTAAGCCAGCGCTGGAGAACGGCTAGAAGAAGCGCCGTGTGCTGAGGCCGCTGGCCCACCCTGCTCGGGCGTGTCGCCTGCGCGGGGTTCCGAGACCAGGGGCATTCACTCACGGGCGAGAGCACGCGAGAGTCGACTAGTGAACTGGCCGTTTTCGGTTCGCGAGAGGGCGTCGCGGCCGTCATTTTTGCGGGTCCAGGTCCGTCGGTTTCGGTCCCAGGCTGTTTTCACTAAGGGGAGGTCTACTAAGGGAGGTTTGTCCAGCGCCGATCATTGCCTCCTTGGGACCTGAGCCCGGGGAGAAAGAAATCGGCTTGGCGAAGGACCCAACCATATGCATTGGGAGCACCGTCGTTGTATGCAGCGCATGCGGAGGGGCTCCCTGTAGGGCCACGAGACGTGTGAAGGGATTTGCCGGACATTTCGCGGTGGGCGCATGTGAAAGTAGCAGCTGGGGCCGTCGGTGGAATTCCCTGTGGGGCCACGCAACGTGTGAGGGGTGTGCCGAAATATGCGCAGTGGGCGCATGCGAACTTAGCCAATGGGACCTTCGGTGAAGTAGCCACCATGCGGACTGCGCCATTGAAACCTTAGGTGGAGCTCCCTATGGGGCCACGAAACGTGTGAGGGGTGTGCCGAAATGGGGCGGCGCCGTCATGCGGACGGCACCACTGGGACCTGAGGTGGAGCTCCGTATGGGAGCACGAACATGTGAGGGATGTGTCGGGATGGGGCGGTGCCGCCATGCGGACAGCACATTGGGACCTTCGGTAGAGCCCTTTGTGAGGCCACGAAACGTGTGAGGGGTGTGCCGAAATAGGGCGGCGCTGCCATGCGGACGGCGCCACAGGTACCTTAGGTGGAGTTTCCTATGAGGCCACCACACATGTGAGGGATGTGCCGAACTAGGGCGGAACCACCATGCGGACGGCGCCACTGGGACCTTGGGTGGAGCTCCCCGTGTAGCCACGAAGCGTGTGAGGGGTGTGCCGAAATGGGGCGGCGCTGCCATGCGGACTGCGCCATTGGGGCATTACGTTGAGCTTCCTATGGGGCCACCACATGTGTGAGGGATGTGCCGAAATGGGTTGGCGACGCCATCCGGACGGCGCCACTGGGACCTTAGGTGGAGCTTCCTATAGGGCCACCGCACGTGTGAGGGATGTGCCGAATTGAGCTGGCGCCGCCATGCAGACGGCACCATTGGGACCGTAGGTGGAGCTCCCCATGGGGCCACGAAGCGTGTGAGGGGTGTACCAAAATGGGGCGGCGCCGCCATGCAGACGGCGCCATTGGGACCTCAGATGGAACTCCCTGTGGGGCCACGAAACGTGCGAAGGGTGTGCCGAAATGGGTGTCGATGATGGTGATGGTAACGGCGATGATGATGACGATGATGACGATGGTGGTGGTGGTGGTGATGATGACGGCCACGATGATGGTGCCGCTGCTGCTGCCGATGATGATGTTGATGGTGATGATGATGATGATGATTATGATGCTGATGGTGCTGGTGCCGATGACGATGCCGTTGGCGATTGATGATGGTGATTATGATGATGCGTATGGTGAAAATTATCGTGAGGGTGTTGATGTTGCTGATGGTGATGTATGATGGTGATGATGCTGATGGTGGTGATGATGATACTGGTGAGTCTGATGATGATGATGAGGAGGAGGATGGGATTGTGGTGATGATGATGACGATGGCTATGTTGGTGATGGTGAAGTTGATGGCGATGACGATGCTGATGCTGATGCTGATGCTGATGCTGATGCTGCTGGTGCTGTTGATGATGATTATGAGGATGATGATGATGCTGGTGGTGATGATGATGCTGATGATGATAGTGATGATGATAGTGGTGGTGGTGATGATGGTGCTCATAGTGATAGTGATGATGATGGTGACGATGATGAGGATGGAGGAAGGGAGATGGGGAGGAGGGGGGGGGAGGAGGAGGGAGGAGAGAGGAGGGGGACGCGGGGTGCTGTCTCTTCAAAACGAGAACGCACCACCACAGGATGGTTGGGAAAAATAAACATAACGACTGC